AGCGAGTGACGGGCATGCTGGATGGTGTGACCCAGACAGCCCAGCCTCAGGTCAGATGGGGCTGAGGTGGGAAGGGGCGGGGACCCAAAGGAGGGACACACAGGAGGGCAGACAGGGGCCCGGCAGGGACCTGCCACACCTCCCGGACAACTATTAAGCAAACAGGAGCCAAGAGCCCCCAAATGGGGAGACAGGCCCAGAAGACAAGATCCCAGCGACCCATCAACAGATGCTGACCTTTTTTGTTCATTATAATCTTAAGTTTATGATTAACCCAAGGGTGGGGTATGTTTAGTTGTCAAAGACTGAGTGGCTGTATCTGTACGAGATGTTGATAGCATTTATACAAGTATTATATGCCTGTGCAGTAACAAGAGTCATCATGCCATACAACACAACTGTACAGTAGTAATAAGCTATTTTGCAGTCAGTATCTCAGGTACATGCGGCCAGTGAGGATTTAATAACAGCCTTCAGCTACCTGACGGGTGGTGCAAAAGAGGATGGAGCTAGGCTGTTCTCAGTGGTGGCAGATGACAGAACAAGGAGCAATAGTCTCAAGTTGCAGTAGGAGAAGTTTAGGCTAGATATGAGGAAAACCTTTCTCATCAGGAGGATAGTAAAACACTGGAACAGGTTACCCAGAGAGGTAGTGGAATTTCTCTAAATTTGGAGTTTTATATGACTTGGCTAGATAAAGCCAGGGCTGGGATGATCTAACTGGGGTGATCTAGTTGCTTTGAGCAGGTGGTTGGACTAGATGATCTAAGGTCCCTTCCAACCTTCATTTTTTTTTATTCTATAATTCTGTCCACATAGTTTTCTGTCTCTAACCATTCTATGAGAAGGCCATGGTCCATAGGCAAAGGATGGCATCCAGAGGGCTGACAGCCAGAAGGTCACTGACCCTTGGAAGCGGTCAGCGCAGGTGAGACAGGATCATCCCAGTTCAGGACCTGTGGAGAGTGGAGTCCATCTTGGCCGTGGATGTGGTAAGGGTGGGGTAGAGGCGAGGTTGGAGCCCCACAAAGAAATCCAGGTGTGAGAGCCCATGGGCCACCTATCAGGAACTTTCTCCCAAGAAAAATAAAGCATTTCATAGATTTCATAGACATTAGGGCTGGAAGGGACCTCAAAAGATCATTGAGTCCAACCCGCTGCCCCAGGGGCAGGAAGGCAGCAGGATCCCCGCAAGATAAATATCCAGATTTCTCTTGAAGGTGTTCAAAGCAGGTGCTTGAACTACCTCTGATGGCAGGCTATTCCAGACCTTGGGGGCTGCAACGTCAACATCTAAGGTATGGCAGGAGAGCAGAAGCAACAATCAAACGATGTAGCTGATGCCAAATCTGGATCTCACCCTGACATCACTGGCGGACAAGGCATCAGTCAAGAAGGAACTAAAGTCCTACAACACCTACTAGCAACACATACTTTGAATCATAACTATACTCTTACCAATAAATCCATCATTATCTCTAAGAATAAATATATCCATACCCAGCAACCCTAGGCATAGCCAGACACCTAACACTGAGCATGGAAGCACAAGCTGGGCAGATCTTGGTTTTACTGGCTGTCAGACCACTCAGGACACAGCTTACTGCCCTCTGCAAACAGAAAGTGGGCAGCTACTCTGGGTCTATCTATGTGCTGTGGGGAGTGGGCACGATAGCAGGATGGCTGATTAAGTGGATAGCTCTTTGGGGCCATGAAAAGGTTTTGAATTATGGGGGAGCTTCAGGGTGCTGAACCCCCCCATAGGAGAGTAGAGCTGCGGGTCAGGAGTGAGGGGCACCAGCAGGGATAGGGGGTGGGGGGTCGTGGGTAGAGATTGAAGGGCACCAACATGGTCCAGATGAGCAGGGTACTGAAGTTTGGTGGGTGAGAGCTGGGGTCAATGGGTTGGGAGTGAGTGGCAGCAGTAGGGCTGGCAGGGCTGTGGCTTAATAGTGAGGGGCAACAGAATGGGCAGGGGCAGAGCCCCCCTTCAGGGCTGGCCATGTAAACACTCCTTTGAAATACGTCATCCTGACGGGCAATTAGCTAGTTCATTTATAAATATGAAGGGCCAATGCACAGGCAACATGACTGTGAATTTGATACAGCCTATATTTTAGCACAGAAATTATTAACCCTCTTTTTTTTTCTCATTATCACTGACCACCTACATTTACTTTTGTTTTACCCTGGCATGTTTCACAGCCCAGTTCACAGTGCTTGGACCTACCATCCCTATCACTGCCATTGTGGGTGGGGACATCATGTTACCTGTCCCCTTGGACGACTGCTGAGAACATGGAGGTGCTGTGGTGTAAAAAGTGGGCATCCTGAGGCCACTCTCAAACTAGGCCCGCCCACTTGTTTCTCAGCAAACTGCCCACCCACCTCATCTGCCATGCCTTGATGTTCCTGATTGAGACATTAATCAGATGGGAGGCTGCCTTTTACCAGCCCTGCTGACAAGGGCCTGTACATCCTCCAGACTCTCCTTAACTTGTCCCATGCCCTGCAGATGTTTCATATGGCCTAACACCCAGCCTTATCATAATCTCTGCATTCACTGGGCTCCCAACCTCATCCCTGGGCCTACAAGCCCCTTCCTTAGGTTCCAAGCTCCATCCCCAGGCTTCAAGTCCAATCCCCAGGCTCCAAGCCCCATCCCTGGACATGGCAACCAGCCTCATCATCACAAGGCTTGACAACCAGCCACATTACTCCTGGAGCCTAACACCCAGCTTCCAGGTCTCTGCTATAGAAAAACACATCAGAGATGTGGGGCCTGGGGTTACAAGGTGCCCCTACTTGCCTTTCACCAGGGAGGTGACTGGCCTGGTATTTCCCTGGGAGCTACTTCACCCCAGGTAGCTCTACCAGCGCCACCCTTACCCAGCAGGGTGCAGTTTTCTGCCATGCCCTGGCCAGAGAACTTCCTATACCACCCCCATAGTCCCCCCCAGACCTCCAGACTGAGCAAGAGCTCAGTCAATGTTTCCCTTGCAGCTTTTGGCAGCAGACTGATGCCTTGCTGTTCATGGACCAAGCCCTTATATACCAGCTGGGCCCTGTTCCCAATCAGACAACAAGGCCTGATGGGGCTGTGGCAGAAGGTCAACTTTGTTTCTCCCCCTAAACTCTGCTCTGTGACAATTTGATTAGCATGGGCCCAGCGGAGGATATACACCTTTACCCTAGCTCTTTAGGTAACCTGAGCTGGATACATTCCTGAGGGAGGGGGGAAAACTGCTCCCTCTGCCTACCTGACTAGTATCACATACCTGGGTGAGGGGCTTCCTTCCTGGTGGGCTAGAGTCTGCCCAGCAACTAGTGATGTATTTCAAATTGGTTGTCTGACAGCCAACAGGTGCTGGCCTCCATTGGACCAGGTAAATGAGGTCACAAGTGCTATATACGTTAGGGACTGCCCAGGAGGTGGGGGGCAGCAGCCATGAGGGAGACTCAGAGACAGAGAAGAGCTGGACCATCTGAAACTTGCTCTCTCTCTCAAAACTCATGATCAAGGAACTGCCTGCCTCCAGAGGAAATCTCCACCTGCCTCTGGATGATACTTGTGAGTAAGCTACCTGAGATCTAACTAGATCTATAGCTTGCAGGAACTCAGATGCGAGATCAAAGGCTACCCAGCCAGGAGAGTTTGCTCTATGGGATTTCTCTGATATTGCTCTACCCTGTACCCTGTTCTAACCCTTCTCTCTGTAACCAATAAAGTTCTCCTTTGTACCTAGTGTGGGAGACTTATTGGGAGCGGGTCTAGATTATGCCTTGGGGTCCCCTTGGTTCACATAACTAAGGGAGACCGCTACTTGTGCTTCTGACTGAGGGAAGCATCCCAACTTCTTGAAGTGAATCAAGTACCCTTGAGGGCTACTAGGCCTGTGTTTCCCAGGATGCACAGAGCCAGATCAGTCCAGAGCTCTGGGTGGTGGCAGTGAAACCCCAGGCTAGTGGGTGTGCTCCAGGAAGGGGGTCGGCCAGACGTGAGGCGCCCCCAGGGAGGCACTCGGAGCCTGGAAGGTGGTCTGGCGCAGTGAGGTGGGTGGCTCAAGGCAGGAGTGCCCCCTACTGGCCCACCACAGGGGGTTACAAGCATCTGCTGGCTGCCTTGCTGCTGCCAGGCCCCTAATAGTAACAGAGCCCAGGGTGCTCTGTTACTCATGGTCACAACCCCAACTCTTATCAGTTATGTATCTGTACCATGATGGAAAGGGTCATGTTGAGTTTCAGATGCCACAATATCGGGGAAGGACAGAGTATCTCAAAGAGGCCATTGCCAATGGAAGTGTCACTTTGAGAATACATAATGTCAGACCGTCAGATGAAGGACTATGTGAATGTCTGATTTGTTTTTTTTTAAATCAAGTACCTTTTATGCAGGAGCTATATTGGACCTGAAGATAGCAGGTAAGAAGGATGGAGTAGAGATGGTGTTTTTCCAGTTTCTCTGCATCCTCCCCTCACCCAACAAGCACAGAGATAAGACTGAATAACCCCAATGTTTCTGGAGCTGAGAAAAAAGGAAGTGAGGGCAAAGCAATTAGGAATAATTTCTCTCCAAAGATATTCTCTGTTAGTTTAAGGGCAGGGGATGCATTCAACCCTTCAAAGATGTGGGGGCATCCAGCAGACACTCCCGGAAGCCCCATGCTGGGAAGAGGAATAGCTCCTGGCCTGTGGGGTTGACTTTACTTCTGTGTAAAAAAGCATCCCAAGGAAAAGGGAGTTGTTCTGAGTAGCAGGTTTGACTGAGGAAGGTGGATGAGCTGGGGGTTGAATTTAGATGGGCAGCAAGGCAGATTAGAAGCAGGCTGGATGTAGGGGGTGGAAACTGGTATGTATCAAAGTTAGGGTAGGCTGGGGACAGATTGCTTTAGTGCAGAAGCAGTTGTAGCAGAGGGGAGTGAGCACGGGGACGAGGCAAAGTCAATGCAGTAGTGCACAAACCCAAGGTACTAGTTGACTCTGACACTTTTTTTTTCCTCAATCTTTTTATTTCCCAAACTTGGTGAACAAACAGAGTTGTCAAACATGGGATCAGCAGACTATGAAATTTTAACACAAAACTGGTTATAAAAAAATAATCATAAATGAATCACAACCCACCCAGACTGGCCAAGAGCATGAAAATCACCACTGCAACATTTATCAAAAGCCTCCCAACCCAGCAGCTGTAACCACTTCCCCAGGATAAATAATGGGTATCCCCAGGCACTGACCCAACACACGAGTTCCAGTGTCCAGAAAAAAGACAGGGCTGCCAGCCCATCTGGGTATGACACGATTACACTATTACCTGGGTCCCGGGGTACAGCTGGGTAAGAGCAGATTCATTTACAGGGTTTACTGAGAGCTCTGTCTGCTGATTCACTTCCCCATTATACACACAAAGTATTGTTCTTCTGCTAAGGATTACTTCTGCTTCCCACTAACTTAATCTAAGCTAACCCTGAACGTCCTTTGGTTTCTTTGGAGGAGGAAGGGTGTGGGAAGAGTCATCCCCTTCCCGCTTCAATGCAGCTTTGTGCAGCTCTGCCTCTATTGCCGATGCAATATTTTGTGCCTCTGCGCTCCCTGCATTACAGTCATCTTTAAAAATCTTGACAGCATGAGTGTTTGCAAACCCATAGAGCTGCCTCAGCTTGGTACTCAGCTCAGCCACACTTAGATGCTCCAGGTTAGAATTTGGTTTGTTCTCCCCAAGGAAAGCGAAAGAAAATTTTTTGTTATTGTCTGAATGATCACAGCAAACAGCTGTCCAGACATGGCTGGGGACTACCACCCTTGCATCATCTCTCTGGATATTCTTTTTTTGGTCTTCCACCTTATCAGGGATTTTCAGGTTTGTGTTGGGCACTACTCCTGTCACAAGGAAGGGGGTCCCTTTCACATTAATACATTTGTCTTTTAACTGCTTGTTAAGGTTTCGTTCCAGTGCATACCATATTTTCCGGTTGAATTCGGGGTGCATGGGGACCGCGTTGGTGAGGGTATAGGTGGCTTCTCGGTGTCCTTTTCCACACTGGTAGGAATTTGGGTTCAGGTGTCCTTGATCATAGCCTGTTTTCTCATAATCTTGTAAAATGGCTTGGCTTTTCTTCAGGACGCTAGGATCCTTTAAGTTCAGCTTCTTTTCCTCAGTCATTCGTTGGATGTTCTCTAGGCTTGCATCTTCAGCCTTGGACAGCTGGGAAGGGAGAAGAGCATAGATCCTTACTTTCAACAATGTCTATCCAGATGGTCCTGACACAGATTTGGGGCAGCAAGAAATCTGAGACCAAACCAATCTCTTTGCCTCCCTGTTGGTTGGTCTCTGTCTGTCTCCTGACTCTATGCATCTGCATTATCCTCCTCTGAATGCTCCCCTCTTATTTAGTGATTTAGATGTCTTTGCAGCTGTGTAAGTACCTCTTGGAGGTGGAGTAGGATTTGGCCCTTGGTGTCAGTGGCAGGTTGGTGTGAAATGACTCAGAAAGACACTGCTCTTTTGAGAGCAATATCAATGATGCTATTTTAATAATGGAGGGGAAAAGGCCTTTGGGCCTTTGTGGGGCAGTTAAAAGTTGTTCTAGACTTGGAGTATATGGAGTTTTGCACAGTCAATTCAAAGGTTGCTCTGAATTTCCTGCCTTTTAGTATTTCTTTCCTAACTGAAAAGGAGTCAGGAGGGTTTTTATGCTTAAATGACATAATTTGATCTCAGCTTCTCCTTGATGAAATCTTCCATCCCTAGACACTGGGAGGCAGTATAATAAAGATAAAGTTAAAAGAATAAAACAGAAAAAAGAGAAAACTGCACTTGAAATGCAGACATGATGAATCCACACAAGCCAGAAAACCTACAGCACCTTTTCTCAGCCACAGCCTTTGTGTAACCCACAATAAAGGAACAGTACAATCCAGCTAATTAGTCACTCAGTACTGTGGTCTAATTAGTCAGTGCATTGAATTCCTGCCAAAATCCCATTGATTTATACACAAAATCTTCAGTGTAACTTATCAGCTAATGTGTAATTAGTCATTTCCAAAGGTACACACATAATAAATCCCAATGGCATTTGCAGGAATTTGTTTTCAGGTTTGCAGGAAAGAGCCTTAGTGTGATCTGCAGTGGGTGCCTCACCCTGGACAGAGCCTGAGGCAGTCACTTGAGAGGCAGAACGTGCCCTGTGTGCTGCAGTGGGAGGCCAGCACTAGTCTCCTGCCCTAGGGATGAGCCCAGCTCTCCAGGATGGGGCTCTGACAATGGCAAGAGGAAGAAACACTCTGCCCTTGGCTCCCAAACCCAAGCAGAGACTTTCCTACTACCAGAAAAGTACTCAGGAGCTCTCTGCTTTCACCCATTCCTTGTGATTGGGGGGGATCCCAGCTTTCCAGAGGGGCTATTACTCCTAGACTAGATAAAGGGTCCCTATATTCTCACCTCATGAGCCAGGGGATTCCTTCTGTCTCCAAACTTTGGATAAGCAATGGGAGCATGGGGTAGGGACAAAGTGATCAGGAGTGATGAGGTGGGATTCAGAAGGGAAACTCACCTGCGGCTCCACCTTCCATTTACCTTCACACTGCACCTGGCCCTTTCTTGTACCCAACTTGTACGCTGCCCAGACTGGGATTCTCCAGCTCTTGTCATAGAGTGTTGCAAAATGATACTTGCTTTCTAGCTTCTGGCAAATGTTTGCTGTGTTTGGAGTATCCAACCCCTGGGGCACAACTCCTCCATAGAAATACTCGTTGCAGAGACTGAAATCAGGAACCACTGCAGCTAGTGCCAGTCCAGCCCAGAGCAAGGCCAAGCCCAGCAGCACCAATGACCCCATGGCACCAGGAGCGTCAGGCACCAACCACAAGCACTTCTGCAGCTGCTACTTATAGTGTTCCTGGGGGAAGTTGCCGCACCCCCAACCCCTCTGCCCTGACAAGCTGCTTGCAGTGGGCTGTCGGCTTCCAGCCAGGGCCCTCCCTAGGGCAGGGCTGGGCCATGTAGCCACAGCCCCAAGTGCATCTCATGCCAACTTATTATCAGTTCCCTTCTTGTTCGCTCCTCTGAGGAAAGGAGTCTCAGGCTTCAGTCTCCTCTTGCAGATCCTCTCAGCACAGCATTTTGTGAGAGTTTTAGATGCTTTGTCACTACTGTCACACTGCAGACACAGCCATTCAGTGCAGTGCCAGAGAGTGCCCCTGCAGTGCCAGGGAGAGCCAGGATTGAGACCCCAAGATGCTCATGTGACATACAGCGAGCCCAGCCCTCTATTAGCTAGGCTGAGAGCAGCTGTCAGTCCCTGCTGAGCTGGGCTGGGTTGGACATCGGCTTGTGGCCCTGAGGTGTCAGGCTGGGTACTAGCTCATCCCTGGGGCAAGCAGAGCCCCTCCTGGGGCTGGGGTGAATGTGCACCCAGAGATATAATTCCCATGTCAGGGCATTGCAGAACCTCAGTGACAGCCTCCTCCTCCCCACAGACACTGCTCACACCCGCAGTGCCAGGGAGCCCAGGGCAAGGCTGCTGCACCTGATGAGGTGAGAAAGATTTTGCATTATTCGGTGTGGGAGGCTAGTGAATGGTGTACCATGCATTTGCTTGAGTGCCTCAGAAGCAAATGAGCAGTTCCCGTCTCATTCACAATCTGTTATCAGTCCACATGTGCTGTGTCAACGTAACAGCACAGTGGAGCTTTTGCACTGGCCTGGATACCAACCACAAGCTCTTCCGTTCCCTTCTTTTGGGTGTTGTGGCTCTTCAATATAACTGGGTGGGCATTCAAACCCTGTTCCTCACATGCCACATAAGAACAGTGACTGCGGCAGGAGTTAGGGGTTAGAGTGGGCAAACAACCAGCCATGAGCTCCCAGTGCGATGCTGTGAGGAAACGCCCCAGGGACAGCCGAGGTTGTTTCTTTGTACAGCGTTGGTGAGACCAGTATTGGGCACCATTACTAGGTCTGGGGGCTGCATGTGGGAAAATGGAAGGGGTGCCAATATAAAGCACAGCAGTGATTGAAAGCTTGGAGAAAATGCCTAACAACAGGGGTTTCAACAATAAGGCCCATGGGCTGGATCCAGTTTGCAGAGCCATGTCCCTTCATCTGCAGGGCTCCTGGAGGGACCAGGAATTTGGTGGTGGGACACGTAGCTAACGAACAGCCACTGAAATGGAGGTATGGCCCTCCAGTGGATATCTGTTTCAGCACTGGGGGAGTGAATGACGGCTGTGTAATCTCCGAGGCTCCCCGAGCTGACACTGTTCTGTCCCAAACACCGCTGCCACTGCCTCCCCTTCCCCACCCCTGCCCCTCCACAGCTGGTGAGGGATCTGGATCCAGTCTGTGCAGAGCCCTGTAAACCAAATACTGCCTTGAGTGCCAGGGGGAGGGTAAGTGAGTTTGCTATCCCTACAAATTGCCATGACTTAGAGCAAGCCCCTGAGTTAGACTGTCACTGTAGGTCAAGGGGGTTGGGATCAAGCTCCACTTTGGAGCCAATCCAGCAGTGGGGCTACCTGCCTGCATCCTTTCTCCCCTACCCCTGCCCCTACCCTCCTAGTTCCTGTGCTGTCTGCAGGAAGGGAGTGGGGAGAAGGAAGGTAAAGGGAGCTGTGGGCTGGGGTTCACCTGGCTCTGGCAACCTTAGTCCATAGCTCCTTGCATCAGCCCAGCCCCAGTTGTGCACTGGGTTTGACAAGCCTTTCCTGAGTCACTCCACTTTGCACCACCTTCATCTGATCCCTCATTAGATGAAGGTTAATTTGCCATGCAATTGGCCACTTTTAAAGCACTCTGCAGATGTGCACATGTGCCACAGCATGGCTATAGACCACTGTCAGGGGGCTGATTGTACAACAAGTGTCACTTCTATCAACACCCTAAGGACCCAAGTGCAGTCCTGGTCCAACACCTGTTTGAGCGCCTGAAAATCCATGAATATGCCTGCTTCTGTAACACAGTCACCTTAGCTTTAGCATAAAGCCACACAGAAGCAGTTAGGAAGATGAGGACCCATCCAGCTTTTGTATAAACAGCTTTTCACGGACCTTAGTAGGGTGGAATAATCACGCTAAGATGCCTCATCCATGGGATCGGATCTAGCCCTCAACCTTTAAGGGTTCAGTCTGTTTAGTTTCCAAGACATACCCCCAAGACTTAGAACTTGATTCCAGTCTCTTAGTGGAAATGTAAGGCTGGAAGGGGCCATCAAGTCTAGTCCCCTGCTATTCAGATAATCTGTTATAAGGGCTCAGAATTCTCTTTTATTCCAGTGGAAAAAGACACTGCAAGAACCCAGTGCCAAAAATAGGAGTTGACAAATCATATAATCATTTTAGAGCCAATCCAGCAGAGGGGCTACCTGCCTGCATCCTTTCTCCCCTACCCCTGCCCCTACCCTCCTAGCTCCTGTGCTGTCTGCAGGAAGGGAGTGGGGAGAAGGAAGGTAAAGGGAGCTGTGGGCTGGGGTTCACCTGGCTCTGGCAACCTTAGTCCATAGCTCCTTGCATAAGCCCAGCCCCAGTTGTGCACTGGGTTTGACAAGAGTTTCCTGAGTCACTCCACTTTGCACCACCTTCATCTGATCCCTCATTAGATGAAGATTAAATTGTCATGCAATTGGCCACTTTTAAAGCACTGGGCTCTGACCTCTGTCCAAACAAAACCAGCAGTTGTATGTCTGTATCATCATTACCAAGCAGGTCTAGGGCTTCTTCCATAGAACTGTTGGCACAGGTACTTAGTTATCGCTTCTCTTGAAGAGCTAAACAGGGTGTAGCCTTCATAACAGATTTTCCGTCAGCAGTTTTGCCAGAAAAGGGAATTATAAATTGCTAAACACCAATCTGCTAGCTCTGGGAGATAGGTTTGGAGTCATTTCATGGGTTTGAGGGTAACAGGATACAGGGGTAGGATCTGCTCTATTTCCAGCCTTTGCTGTATAGTGCTGTTCTCTAAAACTGTCAAAATGACGCATACTCCTTGCCTGTAGACATGTTGGGAAGCTACTCCTATGCACTGTAAATACAGTGTGTCAAAGCTGACTTGATTAATCAAGTCTGGTGGAACGTGGTATCTAACATGCTACAGCAGGCTCCACTTCTCATGTATGGCCGCCACCATCATTTTGAAGCACGGGGATGCTGATACAAGAGATGCTGTGGGCACTTTAATTAGAGTGGCTCTTGGAGCTACTCTAATTAAAGCGCCCCTGCCTCTCATCCCCAGAGCACGTGTAAAGATTCCCTTTAAGTCCCCCAAAGCCCACGTGCTCCATCCCCCATATCTCAGTGAGAACTCTGGAGCCAGGTATAAACATTGGTCAAGGATGATCTAGTTGTGCCTGGAGTATACTGTGAAGAACAACCACTGGGCACCCAGGAGACCCCCCCCAAGTGCATCACTTGGAGATCATGAGAAGAGCTCTGCAGTCCAGAGCAGGTGGGAATTGGAAAGAAGCTTGCTCAGCCAAGGAGAATGAAGCAGAGCTCACAAGAAGATTAGTTACAACAAAACATGAAAGGAGCTAGGATACATTTACAGAATAACAGAAATGGGAGCTGCGGCTCTCCAGTCAGGGTGTGTGATGTGTGGAGTTGTGCTTGAACTCCCCACATTGCAGCACACCATGGAGGTTGTTTGTTTTTGCCATGCTTTTGGACTTTGTTAATTTGCACATAGTTTCAGTAAGATTTTTTCCCCCTTTCTTGTTGCTGCAGGTATCAGGGTGTGGGAGGAAGTTGCCTTCCTGAGAAGTATTGAGTGTTAGCTGCAGCCAAGGCTGGCGATTTGGACTAGAGTATGCCAATTCTATTGCTGGGACTAAAAACACAGAGGTCTTGGGTAGAGGGTTTGCTTCTCCACTCGAGGTCAGACTGATTGCCACATTTGGGATCTAGAAGGAATTTTACCCCACATTTAGACAGGAATGGACCATGGAGGGTTTTGCTGCCTTCTGTAGCCTGTATTTTAACAGGTTTTCCTTCTTGCAGTGGCAGGATCGTGATAGTGCCCTCATCCCCCTGTTTTACCTGTGACAGATTCCCTTCCAGCCTTACAGTTTTATGATTCTTGGATCCTATGCTCCAATTACAGATTAAGATTGGAATTTATTATTATTATTTTAAACAGCACAACACAAAAACATATTTTCTTAGTCATTCCTTCATGCCTGTTTTTATTTTTTGTCCCTCTTCTTTACTGAACCAACTCCAGAGGCTATTGTCACCTTCAGCCATCAAAGTTACACTGATGGAACTGGAGTAGTCTGTGTTAACTCTACGCCCTGGTTTCCAGAGCTGAACTTGATGTTTGGGAAAGAGGGGGACAAGAGTCATCCTCTGGAAACCTTAATTCTATATTAATAAAGAATGGAACAGATGAAGGGAGTCAGGGGCATATCAGGGTTAAAGTGCTTCTCTGGGCAATGAGAGCCCAGAGCTAGCAGTGGGTGTTGAGCAAATTATACTTCCCTTTTCTGGCAAAACTGCTGACTGAAAATCTGTTATGAAGGCTGCACCCTGTTTAGCTCTTCAAGAGAAGTGATTACTAAGTACCTGTGCCAACAGTTCTGTGGAAGAAGCCCTAGACTTCCTTGGTAATGATGACTCAGACACAACTGCTGGTTTTGGCTCATGCAGTCTGGGATTCTCTTTTGTCCTGTGGCAAAATAATATCATCATTCACATGAACCTGCTGGAAAGCAAGATGCTGGTATTGAGTGTTCCTATCTGCTAGCCCAACAGCATAATGATGAGGACACCTGGCCAGAGAGCAGGAGGCCTTCCCATCCACCCCATCCACATCCATGATGTTTGAACAGAGGTCAGAGCCCAGTCCCCTTAATCTCAGCAACTGTCATGTCTCCAGGGGCA